CTGTCCAGGACAGACGACACGCTGTCCAGGACAGACGACACGCTGTCCAGGACAGACGACACGCTGTCCAGGACAGACGACACGCTGTCCAGGACAGACGACACGCTGTCCACGAATGAGTACTAAAACAGACACAAATATCTTGTATTAAGTGATGTTTGAGAGAGACAGGTAACTGGAAGAACCAGAATGTTTTGAATGTAAAAAAATCGCCGAAACAGACATCATCTGAAAGGTGGACAACATCGTGATATTTCCCCATTAGTCTGACAAATACTCAAACAGATAGGAATTACTCCCATCATCACATGGTTGTTGTTCTATATAAAGTGTTAGAATTACACACAGTGTTGATTATCGTGGTACATGTAATATTCTATATTTCGTCTGATTGACTACATTTTGTTTAGTGACTCTTAATCATATCTAAATCACGTGCCATACTGACTTATCCTGTTCTGGTTCAGAATGTACATTAATGAGGTGGGAGAAAAATAATTCCAAAGATGGGGTCAAGGGTCAGATTCTCCCAGTGTCTCAACAAATGTCTACAAGATGTGTCAACCCTCAAAGAGATCCTAAGTCATTAAATTTATAAACAAATAACACATTTAACTAATAAATTTTATTTTTGTCAAAGTTTTAAGTGAGAGGTAAGTTTTCTGAGCATTCCCGATATCATTTTTGAGGGAAAATATTAATGCGAATAAGAGATAAGTAGAAGTTTAATGAAGCCTTTCAACCAAAAAAGTACCTGAGCAAATTACATAGGTGCACAAATTACATGGGATTTTAGGTAACTAACTTATAATCGTATTGTACATTTTTCAGTTGAGATCCATGCAGAACTTTGCTATGCAGAATGTCTGATGATCAGGGCCATGCTTACGTTTGTACAGGATGAAAATCTGATTAGTTTTGTTAAAGGAGGACTCAAAATTAGGGAGTGTTACAAAGTCTACAAGTAAGTTATCTCCCTTTACAGGTCATTTCATGTTTATCTCCATTATTTGAAATACTAATTAGCTACTGGACATTCATGAAGACGAATATTGCTAATCCATTCCTTGTTACCATATCCTTCTCTATCTTTTGGTTAGACTTTGTTTTTATCTCTTTATCATATTTGCTGTAACTAGCGCTCCTCACCCTATATAAGCATCCCTTTCTTTTTCCAGACAAGTTGAAACTAAATAGACCCCCTTCCAGACCTGACCAGGCCCAACCCATGATTAATAGTACTTACACTTTAAAGCAGAGGTATATGTCTGTGAATAGTACTTACACTTTAAAGCAGAGGTTTATGTCTGTTGATCATGGCTGTACTTCTCATAAAGCATGAAGTGGAAGCAGATGAAACATTTTATTTTCAAAGCTCCAGCCACCCTGGAATGTATAAGGTGTCCTTGGGTGACAACAACTGGTTGAAGTTGCACAACGTTTTCTATTATAACTTACATTTTATCATCCTAACGTCACCTTTAAGTCAGTTTTTAAATGTCCGGGGATCAACTAATTATGGCAAATATCTTATATGGTATCTCCATTACTCTAGAAATCCATACAGGCATCATATTACATATATTAGTACATCTGGAGGAGTACTTTGCAAATGTATCAAATGTAGGTCACTGTGACCCATGTATTTTGTGTCACTGACTTTATTAAGACTCTTCACTGACTTTTTTAAGATTTCTATCAAAGTAGGAGCAGGGGCATACGGTATGCATGTTTTAGTAATACATCTGTCTGGTAGTCCTCGGTAATGTACTTATACAAAGCCATATAAATCTTTCAGAGAATGCAATAAAATGCTGAAATACAGGACATTTAAAGAAGAGAAAATACACTTTGAGAGTGGAGTAAGGATGGGTGTTGGTGGGTTTAACTTGGTAAGTCATCATGTCACAGCTATGCATAAGGCCCTGATAAACTTTAAACAGCTTGCTGAAGGAAATCTTTCAATTAAGATATTTATAGAAAACAAAATGAAATGAAAAAAACCCAGGTATAGCGATTCAAAAGGTTTCTCTAAAGACAAGAAGTACAAATACATGTACATAGTTGATAAAATAAGACTTGCTTTATGACTGTTTTTTCAGAAATGTTGAACATTTTCATTCTAATTACACTGTATAGTAAAACCTAACTATTTTGAGTTTCGAATGTATCACACAAATGTAAAAATTATGAAAATATGTTGGCAATTTCACAAGTTTAACAACTGAAATTAAAAGTATTTTGGTGAAATTGGTAGAAATGTTTAAAGTGGAAATAAGAGAATGCCTTAATGAGGTGTATTAAAGTGATAAACATTGATGTTTATCATCATTTGCTTGTGTAATTAATATACATGGTGTTGTATTCTTTCCAGATGATTTCATTGCTACCTGGTAAAGTACTTAAACTACTGGAGTTTGTTGGTTTCTCAGGCGATAAAGTAAGTTGTTATGAAGACAATTAGCGATTTTTACACACCTGCTGGAAATGAACCATATCTATATTTATGTTAAGACCTTGATAATTAAGAGGTTTGATGCCAATTTTTCACCACTTTGGGGGTCAAAATACGTACCTCAAGACATGGAGTGATAATCTGTCAAATACTTTAAACCTCAAAGGGCTAGTTCTGAAGTACATTGAATGAATTTGTGTTTTCAGCTTCACAGAGTTCTGGGTTACAATGCTAAGATTGCTATAATAGAATATAGCTTAGAATAAGGAAATGTGTGGGAGGGGCCAATCTGTCTAACAGACAATGCATCTAATCTACTAAGTCACTTGATCATTATTCACTCAAGTGACCTGTTATGATTGCTTTTTGTCCATTATTTAAATTTGTACATTGTCTACAATGAATAATATTTTCAACTCAGATTTTGATGAAACTTGGTGGTAATTATCACCCTGTGGTGGGAATCAGAATCGATACTCAAGAAGGGGTGGTCTCCCAGGGAGGTGAGGGATGCTGTCTAAGGGGTTGCATCATGTAAACGCATCAACAAAGAGCATTCTCACAGGGATGCAACCTAAGGGGCCATCAACAGACATTACAGTTATATTGGAATGGTTCATTTGAAGTTGTCTAATAATATACTGAGACAATACATGGATTTGTTTCACATGAAGATGAATATGATAATTTATTTTTTCTGTGCAGAAAGTTGGACTAAGTGAGCTACAGAAGGGTACAGAGGTGATGTCAAGTCTACGAGGACCATTGTGTTCTGTTGTCCTTATAGGCTACCATACTGTAGTCTGTTTTGTCTTAGGTATGTATTTCAACTGTGATTTCATGGACACTGAAAGGGTACAAAATAATTGTTTCAGAACCACAATATTACACAGCTTCAGTTTAATCACCATTGTCATACTTGTCAACCTTTTGAAATTTTCACGTGGGAAATTCCACTTGCTCAAAGTTAAAGACATGCATGGAGTGTATACCCCTAGGTTAAAAAGAACACTTCAGAAGTGGATCTTTTGGGTTTATATACAATGTAGAAGAAATAATTGATAAACAGAAAGTTTGGCAAGTTTACTGGATGAATATGTTCAATTTAAGGGTCCAGAATCGGGCGTCTCCCTTTAAAATAGGGAGAGTGGGCAAGTATGTGTTGTGACTAGAATGGATACCCTTTGTATTGTATAGATACCAGCACACTGACACTAAGTATGTGTTGTGACTAGAATGGATACCCTTTGTATTGTATAGAGGTTTATACATGCCAATAATACCAGCACACTGACAAGTAGGGGGTGGGGTTATTACAGGACAAAAAGATTACTTTCGTTAGTATTTCAACTGAACTCCACTATATATGGGTGGGTTAGTTAACAGACATGAGCTTATTGCTGAATAAATATGGTATAGGTTTTAAATAGAAAGGAAAATATCCTTATATAGTGCAATATAACCATATGTTAGTAAGACAGTTTTACAAGACAATTAAGTTTAGAGTAATTGTAAACAAAGTGAAAATCAAGACCCATCAAATGATGACAAATTACTTAACATCAGTGCAATACTGCAAAGGTAAATGTTGAATTAAGAAGTCCCAAAAACCAAATTTGGGAACCTATTGTTTCTGCTCAGTGTCTTATTTCTTTCACTTTTTTCTGCTGCGTTGTTGTCTGCCATTTTTCTGAAAGACTCAAAGGCAGATTTTAACAGAAGTTTACATGTCAGTGTTTGTGAATGGGAGGGGTGTGCAATGGACATTTCGTTATACGATCGGTCATCCAGTATGGCCGCCATTGCCTCTTGATAGTTCGCAATTTAGGTATTAGTTGTTGTGTAGTTGTAGATATGTGTGTAGCATATTGCTACCATGATTTTGTTCAGGAAGAGCACACATATATACATGATGTATAATATGTGTGGGTATGGATAAGCATCGTAGTTAGGTGGTATTAAATGTGAACTCTGGTTTACAGTTCTAGTAACAGCATTAAATACAATGCAACAGGAGGATTGTAACTATTAGTAGTACTCAGAGCATAAGAACTTTGTTTGGAAGTATAAGATTAGGTTTTACATTACAGGTTTAGCTGACGGAGACATTGATCTGGCAGATGAACTTCTACAGAATTGCCTAAAACGGTTTCCAAAGGTTGGTATACTCTTCAAAGTATATGTATTTAATTACAGTAGTATTTAGTAAAGCAAGTCTTATATATGGCGGTATAATTTCTATCATTAGGGCCCTGTATCGGAGATACGGGTGCCCTATAGTAATCACTGTCTGTCTGTCTGTCCGTCCACAAAATTTGTTCCTGGCTGATATCTTTAGTATTTATTGGCAGATGTACATGAAACCTAGTCAAGATGTTCAGTTGATAAAAGTAGACATTGAGGCTAAAAGTCAAGGTCAAAGGTCAAGGTCATTAGGTTCAAAGGTCAAGGTCAAATTTTACATCTTTTCACTGATGAACATTTTGTTATGACATTATGAAGCAAAGTTGATCAAAATTAAACAAGGATTCAACTGACCAAAGGTCAAGGTCATTGGGTCAAAGGTCAAGGTTAAATTTTGTATCTTTTCACTGGTGAACATTTCTCTATGACACTTTGAAGCAATGTTGCTCAGAATTAAACAAGGAGTCAGTTGACCAAAGGTCAAGGTCACTTGGTCAAAGGTCAAGGTTAAAATGTTGTACCTTTTCCCTGAAGAACATTTTGTTATGACATTATGAAGCAATGTTGTTCAGAACTTAACACGGAGTCAACTGACCTTAGTTCAAGGTAACCGAGTCCAAAGGGTCAAGGTCAAGTTTTGTATTATTCACTGATGAACATTTTGTTATGATATTAAGATGCGAAGTTGGTGTGAATTAAAGAATAAGTCAACCAAAGATCAGGGTCACTGGGTTAATGGTCAAGGTCATTTGGGTCCAAAGGTCAAAGACAAAGTGGATCTCTGACTTTGACCCTGGCTCTTGATGGAGAAGGTATATAAGGTGAAATATTGCACCGGTAATTACATTTCTGTTAGCCCAGCAAATATGGAGGTGGAAGGAAACACATCACATCATAGTACTGTACATGTAAAATGTATATTTTGCTTCCTTACGATTCTTTTTGAAGTCCAAATGTCAAACGTCAAGCTCAGCTATATGGGCAGATTGCTTCTTGATGATTATGGGGGATATAATTGCCACAAGCTGGGCCCTTACTGACCTGTCAGTGTTCTAGTTTCAATAATGAAAATGTTCATGTAGAAGTGGATGTATATTGAAGGTTTATTTACCTCTGTCTTTAGATATATTTTACCTTAAAACATTGAAGCTTTATTTACCTCTGTCTTTAGCTATATTTTACCTTAAAACATTAAAGTTTATTCACCTATGTCTTTAAATATATTTTACCTTAAAACATTAAAGTTTATTCACCTATGTCTTTAAATATATTTTACCTTAAAACATTAAAGTTTATTCACCTATGTCTTTAAATATATTTTACCTTAAAACATTAAAGTTTATTCACCTATGTCGTTAGATATATTTTACCTTAAACCATTGAAGGTTTATTCACCTCTGTCTTTAGATATATTTTATCTTAAAACATTGAAGGTTTATTTACCTCTGTCTTTAGCTATATTTTACCTTAAAACATTAAGGTTTATTCATCTCTGTCTTTAGATATATTTTACCTTAAAACATTAAAGTTTATTCACCTATGTCTTTAGATATATTTTACCTTAAAACATTGAAGGTTTATTTACCTCTGTCTTTAGATATATTTTACCTTAAAATATTGAAGGTTTATTCACCTCTGTCTTTAGATATGTTTTACCTTAAAATATTGAAGGTTTATTTACCTCTGTCTTTAGATATATTTTACCTTAAAACATTGAAGGTTTATTCACCTCTGTCTTTAGATATGTTTTACCTTAAAACATTGAAGGTGAATGTTAAACTGATAGTAAAGAAGTAAGTATATCTGTTTGACGATTGATCTTTGATACTTTTGTTTTCAGGGTGCTTTGTTTTTATTTTTTGCCGGACGAATTGCTGAAGTGAAGGGAAATATAGATAAAGTAAGTATTCAAATATATACTTTAAATATTTATATACCATGCTATACCAATCTAAAGAAATTATCATCTAATATTGATATGTACATGTATTTATCTGAGGTTTGTGATCTAACATAGATAACCTTTTTTATGTATTGTCTGTTGCCTCTGTTTCACAGTAATAAAGCATAATACTGTATGTTTGCCCTCAAAATTTACTATAACATGGTGCTATGTTGCAGGCAATATGCAAATTTGAAGAGTCCATAGAGTGCCAACAGGAGTGGAGGCAGTTCCATCATCTTTGTTTCTGGGAACTAATGTGGTGTTACTGGTAGGTACTGATGATCTAGATAGAACAGAACACAGTATAGGAGCCTCATGTGGTGTTACTGGTATAGTACTGATGACCTAGATAGAACAGAACTCAGGATAGGAGCCACATGTGGTGTTACTAGTAGGTACTGATGACCTAGATAGAACATAACACAGGATAGGAGCCACATGTGGTGTTACTGGTATAGTACTGATGACCTAGATAGAACAGAACACAGTATAGGAGCAACATGTGGTGTTACTGGTATAGTACTGATGACCTAGATAGAATAGAACTCAGGATAGGAGCCACATGTGGTGTTACTAGTAGGTACTGATGACCTAGATAGAACAGAACACAGGATAGGAGCCACATGTGTTGTTACTGGTATTGTACTGATGACCTAAATAGAACATAACACAGTATAGGAGCCACATGTGGTGTTACTGGTATGGTACTGATGACCTAGATAGAACAGAACACAGAATAGGAGCCACATGTGGTGTTACTGGTATAGTACTGATGACCTTGATAGAACATAACACAGTATAGGAGCCACATGTGGTGTTACTGTTATAGTACTGATGACCTTGATAGAACAGAACACAGAATAGGAGCCACATGTGGTGGTACTGGTAGGTACTGATGACCTAGACAGAACAGAACACAGAATAGGAGCCACATGTGGTGTTACTGTTATAGTACTGATCACCTTGATAGAACAGAACACAGTATAGGAGCCACATGTGGGGTTACTGGTATAGTACTGATGACCTAGATAGAACATAACACAGGATAGGAGCCACATGTGGTGTTACTGGTATTGTACTGATGACCTAAATAGAACATAACACAGTATAGGAGCCGCATGTGGTGTTACTGGTATAGTACTGATGACCTGGATAGAACAGAACACAGTATAGGAGCCACATGTGGGGTTACTGGTATAGTACTGATGACCTAGATAGAACAGAAGACAGGATAGGAGCCACATGTGATGTTACTGGTAGGGACTGATGACCTAGATAGAACAGAACACAGGATAGGAGCCACATGTGATGTTACTGGTAGGTACTGATGACCTAGATAGAACAGAACACAAGATAGGAGCCTCATGTGGTGTTACTAGTATAGTACTGATGACCTAGATAAAACACAATATAGGAGCCACATGTGGTGTTACTGGTATAGTACTGATGACCTAGATATAACAGAACACAGTATAGGAACCACATGTGGTGTTACAGGTAGATACTGATGACCTAGATAGAACATAACACAGTATAGGAGCCACATGTGATGTTACTGGTAGGTTCTGATGACCTAGATAGAACAGAACACAGTATAGGAGACACATGTGGTGTTACTGGTAGGTACTGATGCCCTAGATAGAACATAACACAGGATAGGAGCCACATGTGGTGTTACTGGTAGGTACTGATGACCTAGATAGAACAGAACACAGGATAGGAGCCTCATGTGGTGTTACTGGTATAGTACTGATGACCTAGATAGAACATCACACAGTATAGGAGCCACATGTGGTGTTACTGGTATTGTACTGATGACCTAGATAGAACATCACACAGGATAGGAGCCACATGTGGTGGTACTGGTAGGTACTGATGACCTAGATAGAACAACACAGGATAGGAGCCACATGTGGTGTTACTGGTATGGTACTGGTGACCTATATAGAACATCACACAGTATAGGAGCCACATGTGGTGTTACTGGTATTGTACTGATGACCTAGATAGAACATCACACAGGATAGGAGCCACATGTGGTGGTACTGGTAGGTACTGATGACTTAGATAGAACAACACAGGATAGGAGCCACATGTGGTGTTACTGGTATGGTACTGGTGACCTAGATAGAACATCACACAGTATAGGAGCCACATGTGGTGTTACTGGTATGGTACTGGTAGGCCAAATAACCCCTTCCCTTAGTCCTTATCTAGTACACTTCAAGGTTACGTGCAGATTTTACACAATGTTGAGGAGTAACATTATAAAGAATTAAACAGTAATATGACCAGGCTTTGATCATTTAATTGCCAGACAGATTTACAATTAACTAGACTGGCCTTTGTGCTAAAGACTGGTTATCATTTACCTATTGGTTATTCACCTTCCGGTACAAATGTATTTTAAAACACCTTGTAAACTAGTTCTGAAAATTTTGTCATTAAACGAAAAAGAAACAGTAATTAGTCAAAGTTTGTGCTTCAGACCTGATTTCTGTATATGTTTATATGAAATTTTTGATTGAATATTTCATTTACAGTTTTAAATCTGATTGGTTGATGGCAATGAAGTATGCAGAGAAGTTATGTAAGGAGAGTCGTTGGAGCAAGGCGACGTATACATACCTGAAAGCATGTTTTCTACTGATGTGTGAGGATCGATCACAGGACACACAGGATCATCTGCTCTATTTATTTGGGTAAGATTATGTTTACAAATCCACCTATCATAGATGGTCTGTTAATACAGGTTTACAATCATTTTTCTTCCAAGGGTGGATTCTTAAAACAGGTTAACTACACTTCAAAAGGTTAACTTTTATATTGGTCTTTCATAAGGCTGGTCTCTCCAGACAGGTTTACTGTAAGCAATCAAAACCCTACAATTGTTGCATTTCATGGGAATATTGTCTGAAGACTGGTCTTTTGGAATACAATCCTTCACAAAGATAGGTTTATTAAAGAAATTCTTTATAAATGTAGTCATTCAAGACAGGTTTCTATAGAAATCCTTCATAAATGTTTTCTCGCACCTCAAACGGGGATATCCCATGAGATACTACCCTGTGCTAGATTTTACTATCTTGTCTGATCTGTTTGGCATCTTCACGTGACATTTTGTGGAATTTTTACATGGTGTTGTATTCATCCCATGATAATGTCTTGTAATTGACAATCCGCATGATAAATATTCTGTATTTGTTTCATCTATTTGTAAAGGTATTGATTCCCGATGTTTTAGACAAAATATAATCTACACTGAGAAATACGTTGTCTTTGCAAACTGGACTTCATTTTACATGAAAGCATTAAAAGGTAGCTTTAGTAGTGAATAGGCCATATTTATTTGAGGCGCAGATGGGATACTTGTAGAATCTAGCGAAATTGAATAGTCTTTCTAACTAAAAGGTACGAGAAAGAAAAACCAATTATCTGTAACTGGGCTAGGTCAGGTTTTCTCTTACCCTGGATAGTTGTATGCACTCTAGATCTTTTCCCTGTGTGAAATGTCCTTGTCTAACCTTAGGGTTGAGAAGGGGGATTCCCATATACATAACAATTGTATGACATCTGTTCAACAAATACAATGACATCATGTCCACACTGCATTAAGCCTGTAACGTTAACATTACATTATGTATATGATACACAACTGGCGAACAGGGTAAAAGAAAAAAGTTGCCAAACACTCAGCAAAGCCTCATGTTTGGTAACTTAAGAATCTTCTCCCTTGGGTCGAGATTCTCCTATCTCACCCCCAAGGGACTGAGAAATTCTATTAATCGCAGGCTAGGACTAAGATTCTGTAACATCTCAACCTCGTCTTGCACCTCAATTGGGATTATGTTTCAGAACCCTATCCCTCGACTAATATCACCTGATTAGTCTCTCAAGTCAGATTTACTATAGAAATCCTCCAGAAGTGTTGTCTCTCAAGCAAGATTTACTATAGAAATCCTCCAGAAGTGTTATCTCTGAAGCAAGGTTTCTATAGAAATCCTTCAGAAGTGTCGACTCTCAAGCAAGATTTACTATAGAAATCCTCCAGAAGTGTTATCACTCAAGCAAGATTTACTCTAGAAATCCTTCAGAAGTGTCGTCTCTCAAGCAAGATTTACTATAGAAATCCTTCAGAAGTGCTGTCTCTTAAGCCAGATTTACTATAGAAATCCTTCAGAAGTGTTGTTTCTCAAGCTAGATTTACTATAGAAATCCTTCAGAAGTGTCGTCTCTCAAGCAAGATTTACTATAGAAATCCTTCAGAAGTGTTGTCTCTTAAGCCAGGTTTACTCTAGAAATCCTTCAGAAGTGTCGTCACTTAAGCAAGATTTACTATAGTAATCCTTCAGAAGTGTCGTCTCTTAAGCAAGATTTACTATAGAAATCCTTCAGAAATGTTGTCTATCAAGCTAGATTTACTATAGAAATCCTTCAGAAGTGTTGTCTATCAAGCCAGATTAACTATAGAAATTCCTTCAGAAGTGTTGTCTATCAAGCCAGATTAACTATAGAAATCCTTCAGAAGTGTTGTCTCTTAAGCAAGATTTACTATAGAAATCCTTCAGAAGTGTTGTCTCTTAAGCCAGATTAACTATAGAAATCCTTCAGAAATGTTGTCTATCAAGCCAGATTAACTATAGAAATCCTTCAGAAGTGTTGTCTCTTAAGCAAGATTTACTATAGAAATCCTTCAGAAGGGTTGTCTATCAAGCCAGATTAACTATAGAAATCCTTCAGAAGTGTATTCTATCAAGCCAGATTAACTATAGAAATCCTTCAGAAATGTTGTCTATCAAGCCAGATTAACTATAGAAATCCTTCAGGAGTGTGATCTGTTAAGGCAGGTTTACTATAGAAATCCTTGTAATGTGCTGTATAGACTGTATAGTCTGTAGGAGTCCCACAATTGTTTTGTGTAATTTTGTTGCACGCGAGTCTTCAATGACAGATTTCATTATAGATGTAACTCTTCAAATGTTGCATTTCATTAAGGGTAATTCCTGAAGGCTCGTCTTTCTGGAATAAGGACTGTCACCCAAGACAGACATGTAAAGCAGTATTACTAAAATTTCTCTGTATATTTTTAGAGAGGTACCGAAGCTGAAACAAAGAATAGCGGGGAAATCCATCCCGTTAGAAAAGTTTGCTGTCCACAAAGCAAAAAGGTTCCAGGAGGAAGGGAACCGACTCCTACTGCCAGCCCTGGTGAGGTCTCATATCAATACACTTAGTTCATTTATGGGGAAAAATGTAACTGAAATGAGTGTTTTCGAAATTGATTTAGTAATCAATTCTACATAAAAAAGAGACTGAATTGTGAAGTTGATTATGAAAATTTGAATCGGCAGAGTAAGAATACGAAAAATTCTGTTTATTATCTTCTTCAGGAAATGGTGTACTTGCTGAATGGTTTCAACATCCTCAGTAAAAATGAGCCTCTGCTTGAACCGTTCCTGTTGACCACGGAGAGAACAATAAATGAGGTTTTAGAGAACAGAGGTAAAAAATTAACCACAATTTTCCCTGTTTTCTCGTGATAGATGTGTGAACATAAATTAACCCAATGTAACATTTTCTGTTTTGAGTTATACGTGATAGATGGGTGAACGTAAACCCAATGTCACATTTTCTGTTTTGTGTTATATGTGATAGATGGGTGAACGTAAACCCAGTGTAACATTTTCTGTTTTGTGTTATACGTGATAGATGGGTGAACGTAAACCCAATGTCACATTTTCTGTTTTGTGTTATATGTGATAGGTGGGTGAACGTAAACCCAATGTAACATTTTCTGTTTTGTGTTATACATGATAGATGGGTGAACGTAAACCCAATGTAACAATTTCTGTTTTGTGTTATATGTGATAGATGGGTGAACATAAATTAACCCAATGTAACATTTTCTGTTTTGTGTTATACGTGATAGATGGGTGAACTTAAACCCAATGTTACATTTCTGTTTTGTGTTATATGTGATAGATGGGTGAACATAAACCCAATGTAACATTTTCTCTTTTGTGTTATACGTGATAGATGGGTGAACGTAAACCAAATGTAACATTTCTGTTTTGTGTTATACGTGATAGATGGGTGAACGTAAACCCAATGTAACATTTTCTGCTTTGTGTTATACGTGATAGATGGGTGAACAAAAACCCGATGTTACATTTCTGTTTTGTGTTATACGTGATAGATGGGTGAACGTAAACCCAATGTAACATTTCTGTTTTGTGTTTTACGTGATAGATGGGTGAACGTAAACCCAATGTAACATTTTCTGTTTTGTGTTATACGTGATTGATGGGTGAACGTAAACCCAATGTAACATTTTTTGTTTTGTGTTATACGTGATAGATGGGTGAACGTAAACCCAATGTAATATTTCTGTTTTGTGTTATACGTGATAGATTGGTGAACGTAAACCCAATGTAACATTTGCTGTTTTGTGTTATACATACATGTATGATGCTGTAATCATCTGTTGAGTTATGGTGTAACAAATTGTTCTATATTTAGGGCCCCGCAAATAATAATCCAGGTGTTGGTCCATACATCTGTCCATATGTTTGTCAGCACTTTTGTTTCCGGAGATTATCTCATGATCCAGATGGCCAAAATTTTTGAAATTTCACATGGTGATACACTGTGATGTACAGATGTGCAATAGTGGTTTTAAAAATTCCTAAATCCTATGTTACTAACATTAGAACCGGGAATATACTGTCAAAAAGACATCAGATAAGGGCCTTATAGAAGGCCAAACTTTCTGAAATTTCACACGATGATACATGTGCAATACAGTTTTAAAAAGTTTCGAAGGTCAACACTGTCGTTACTTTAAAATAGAACAGGGCCTATACTGTCAAAAACTTGTTGTAAATGGTCCTTTTTGAACAGTCAATGATCACTATTGCTTGGTGCTTATATGGGAGATACACTGTCAGGCATACACCGGGGCCCTTAAGCTTGCTGACCTGTCAGTATTCTAGTTCCTGTAGTTAGTTCCTTGCCAAACACTTTTTTTCTGTTGAATGGAATTTTCTCCCTTTTGCTCCTGACTGAGTAAGCAAATTCAATATCTGACGCAAATTTTTATACATACATAGGTATGTGCAATACTTGGCAGATTTGCTTTGATAGACCAGAGAGCAAAAATTTGGTGGTTCAAAAATATGACAATGTACAGTGTACGTAATGATGATAAACCTTTTTCATCATTACAAATATAACAGAGTATAAATTTATAATTTGATGGTATTCTTTAACTACAGCATAATGCAGATGACCACAATTTTTTATAAGTGGTGATCTGCCCACAGATGTAAATATATATATCATGATTTATACCTGGTCTGTTTTGCTGTCATATACCCACCTTGAGATTTATTAGTGACTTGTTTTGTCCTCATGCTCAATTGCCCACTGAATTAAATAAATGCCATGTTTTGCCCTCAGATGCCCACTGTGAGTTATATAAATGTTTTTTTCACCCTCACATGCCCACTGAATAAAATATTTGGTATGCTTAATTTTGCCCTCAGATGTCCACATTGAAATATATAAAATGGTATTTTTTGCCATCAGATGCCCATCTTGAACTAAATGAATGGTATATTTTGCCCTCAAATGCCCATCTTTACCTGAATTAATGGTATGTTTTGCCTCAAATGCCAACCTTGACCTAACTAAATGGTATGTTTTGTCTCAGGTACCCATCTTGAACTTAATCAATGGTTTGTTTTTCCCTCAGATGCCCACCCCTGTTTTATTGATGACTACAGCCTCGCCCTCCTGTTGAAGGGTGTGTGCCTTAAACACCGGTCACAGTATTTCCAGGCAAGACAATGCTTCACAGAAATTATTGTAAAGTAAGTGTTTCCAGGGTTACATTATCGTTAGCTCACCGGGTCCGAAGGACCAAGGTGAGCTTATGCCATACCGTGGCGTCTGTCCGTTGTCTGTCCATCAACAATTTGTTTAAACGACTTCTTCTTCTTAACCACTGATTGGAATTTAACTAAATTTGACTGGAAGCATCCAGTGGTGGGGATTCAAAATTGTACAAATGGTGGGCTGACCCCCCAGGGGGCCGAGGGGTGGGGCAATTTGGCTATATTGCTTTAAGCGACTTCTTCTCCGAAACTAAGAGATGGATATCAACCATATTTGACTGGAAGCATCCCTAGGTGGTGGAGATTCAAAGTTGTACAAATGGTTGGGCTGAGGGGCGGGGCCAAAAGGGGGCAATTTGGCTATATTGCTACAAACGACATCTTCTGTAGAACTATGCACTGGATATCAATCATATTTGATCAAAAGCATTCATGGGAAGCAGGGATTCAAAATTGTAAAAATGGTGTGGCTGACCCCCCAGGGGGCCGAAGGGCAGGGCCAAAAAGGGTTATTTGGCTATATTACTTTAAGCGACTTCTTCTCTGGAACTTAGAGCAATTTGGCTCACCAGGTCCATGTACAAATGGTGGGGCTGACCCCCTGGACTAAGGGGTGGGGCCAAAACAAGTTTATTACTTGGAAATGGTTGAGATCCCCAAAATATAACCATATATACAATTGCTGAGTATAAAGAGAAGAATGCACATTCGCTTCCAGGATGGCCCTAGTATACATTGTAATAATATGACTTCTTAATCAAGGAAATATTATTTATCATGAAATTATCCATCATTCAATAACACGAAATTGGTGAAAAATCAAACCAGGATAACAAGAACATCCTGGCATGTACAAACACAGATTAGTTGTATTACTTTAACCTCATTTACACTTTATTGTGTGGAGCTGAAAGTAGAAGTTAGGAAAATGTGTGTGTGTAGTTGTGTTGATGTGAAATTAGGTTTGTTTGTATGGGGATAGGGGTGTTTGTGTGAGATTAAGTTAGGAAAATGTCTGTGTGTAGTTGTGTTGATGTGAAATTAGGTTTGTCTGTATGAGAATAGGTGTGTTTGTGTGAGATTAGGCATGTTTGTGTGAGATTAGGTGTGTTTGTGAGAGATTAGGTGTGTTTGTGTTTTTGCATTATTAGGTGTGTGTGTTGGTGTGAGATTAGGTGTATGGCTGGTATGAGATTAGTTGTGTTGGTGTGAGATTAGGTGTTATTGTGTTTTTGCATTATTAGGTGTGTGTGTTGGTGTGAGATTAGGTGTGTTTGTGTGAGATTAGTTGTGTTTGTGCGTTATTAGGTGTGTGTGTTGGTGTGAGATTAGTTGTGTTTGTGTGAAATTAGGTGTGTTTGTGTGAGATTATGTGTGCTTTTGTTGGTGTGAGAATTTAGGTGTGTTGTTGGTATGAGATTAGGTGTGTTTAAAAGCTGTTATATGCAAGTTAGGGTGAGTTTTAAGTACATAATTTGTATCTAATTATGTCTCCCCTTTGAATGAAGGGAGACATATTGTATTAGTACTGGTTCTTCTGGTTCTTCTTATCCGACTTGTCCTGGCCATAACTTTTAAACTGTTAAAGAAATCTTGATGAAACTTTAGGTATGCATGCATCATGCACAGGAGGTGTGCATTGCACTGGAATTAGGTCACTGTGACCTTCACCTCAAGGTCTAAGGTCAAATAAGTGCACATTTTCAATAAATTCTTGTCCGGCCCGTAAATTTCAAACCGTTAAAGATATCTTAATCAAACTTGAAGTATACCTGCATCTCCCACAGAAGGTGTGCAGTGCACTGGAATTAGGTCTTGTGCATCACTATATACAAAGTTATGGCCCTTTGTTTAATTTTAATACCAAAGTTTGTCCACAGCATTACTTCCATGTTATTAGGGCCCCCACATCGAAGATTTGGGTGCCCTATGCTAATTCATCTGTCCGTCCGTCCGTCACAATTAAACAAGGTATCAACTGACCAAAGGTCATTGTCACTGGATTAAAGGACAAGGTCAAATTTGGTATCCTTTCCCTGATGAACATTTTGTTATGACATTATGAAGCAAACTTGGTTGGAATTTAACAAAGAGTCAACTGACTTAAGGTCAAGGTCCCTGGGTCAAAGGTTAAAGTCAAATTCAGTATATTTTCACTGATGAACATTTTGTATTACATTATGAACCAAAGTTGGTTGGAATTAAAAAGGAGTCAACTGACTTAAGGTCAAGGTCACAGTGACAATTTCAAGGTCAAATATTGTATCTTTTTACTGATGAACATTTTTTGTATGTTATTATGAAGTAAAGTTGTTCAGAACTTAACACAGAGTCAACTGACCAAAGGTCCAGGTTACAGGTTCCAAAGGTTTAAGGTCAAGGTCAAGTTTTGTATTTTTCACTGATGAACATTTTGTTATATTATAGTTGGTAGGAATTGAAGAATGAGTCAACTGACCAAAGATCAGGGTCACTGGGTTAAAGGTCAAGGTAATTGGGTCCAAAGGTCAAAGTGGATCTTTTACTTTGACCCTGGCTCTGGATGGGGGAGGTATTTAAGGTGAAATAAAACAAATCAAAGCTGACAAATGAGTATTGCACCGGTATTTACATTTCTGTTAGCCAAGCAAATATGGAAGTGGAAGGAAGCAAGACTCACATTACAGTTCATGTAAACTGTATATTTTGCTTCCTTGCAATTTTTTTTTGAAGTCCAAATGTCGAACGTCAAGCTCAGCTATATGGGCAGATTGATTCTTGATGATTATGGGGGATATATTGCCACAAGACGGGGCCCTTACTGACCTGTCAGTGTTCTAGTTTCACCTACATTGACCAAACATGTTTTAATGTTCTTGGGAAGTAGGAGTGTCAAATTCTAAATTCGGGTCTCGTGCCCCACTACATATAGCGATATGGCCCTTTTTTAATTTTTTATTCTAGAGTTTTTCTATTAGCTAATAAGGTTGAGTAATAATAAATTATAGTTATTGAACATGTTGTAAATATGTTTGCTAAATAGTAATACTGCAGACTTAATTTTTTTTATATAATTATTCATATAGTACTTTGCATACTAATACTCGCTAAATTAAACTGCCCTCATTACGGAAGGTGAAAAAGACAAAAATTAAACTGCGATCCTAATATGCAAAACATTGAAATGTGAATATACAAATACAGGTGAGTTGACATATTTTTTTTAAAGTTTTGAAGTAAAAAAAATAGCATAAATAACCAAAAGCCACTATGAAAATGGGTATGGAAATATTTGTATTTTGGCTTTCCAACTTGTTTGAGGTGTAGGACCTTGTATTTATGTATCATTGTACTTAAAATAGGAAAATATTTTCTTAGTTCAGTTTCCACATCTTTTCAATTCCATTGTCAGGACCATTGTATTCTCACCAGTGAATGCTGAAGAAAATAAACATTTTCTTGCAAAATATAACAAAAAAAACCGTACAGGTTTAATCCCTTTTGCCCAATGCTCAGGACTAAAATTTATGTAGGGTTTTTGTTTCCTCACAAAGAAGGGGAAGCGAGACTAAGGTGTTGCTTTTCCAGCGACGGCAGCAACATTAAGCTTTTGTGTTTAACTTAGTTTCACTGAAAGTATAAGTGCTTGATCAACCAAACTTGCACCAAAATTGCATCTTAGGTAGTACATCACAACCCATACATCAAATGCTGGATGCGGCCTACCTTTTATGGTCCATTGACCTTGTCAGCATCTCCATCAGCTTAAGTTTTTGCGTTTAGTTAGTTTCTCTGATATGTGCATTGATGGTCAACGCGGGGCACAGGTGAGACATATCAATCCGCGGGGCACAGGTGAGACATATCAATCCGCGGGGCACAGGTGAGACATATCAATCCGCGGGGCACAGGTGAGACATATCAATCTGAATGGCTTGTTTGTAGAACTTTTTAAATCTGCTTGCAACCTGCTGGTTCTCTAAATACAAAGTTGTACACCATTGACAATGCTGGATCAGTGAGTTTGATATATAGGTATTTGAAATGATAGAAAGATAGGAAGGAAAAACTACACAACTTTGCAGAATGTAGAAAAATTGCCATTTAAAATGTTTACTTTTCCTATGTCTCTGCTAACAAAGATCTGTTAAGCCATGCTGGACTATATTTCTTGGCTTACAAAGCTCAGTTAAGCAGGACCATATATCTCAGCTCACAAAGATCGGTACTTTGATCATTTCTAATGCATTACAAATTCAACTCTTTCTGTTTTTCTGTTGATTATGCATTGAACTTTTATCTCTGTATCAGCGAGAAAAGCATTAAGAAGGACACCTTCCTAGTTCCCTATGCAGTGGTTGAGTTGGCCATACTGAGTCTTGCTGAGGAGAACTGGAATGAGGTCAAGATTCTTCTAGAGAAAGCAAAGTAAGTACCCGTGATAAACCAGTCGCGGTCTGAGCCATGTATGTTTGTCAGCTGTCAAAAGATGGTGTGTTGGTTGATGTTTATTCAGTCCCTGGTGTGCAAATAGTAAAATTATTTTCTCTCAGACATTATAATATTGTATTTATCACATTTTGTCAGTAAAATATAATAAATCAGGAAACACTCATGGGTTTTCACTCCATTTCTTCTTCCCTCCTTACCTTGACATACAACAAACCTGTTTTAATGTAGTTATATATTCAAGATGGCCAACTCTGGCTTGATAAAGAGGTTGGACTTATTGCTACACTTACTGGTGTTGTCCTGCTACACTTACTGGTGTTGTCCTGTGATGTTTAGTAAGACTTTGCAGTGGTGTTGTCCTGTGATGTTTAGTAAGACTATGCGCAATGTTGTCCTTTAATGTTCAGTAAGACTTTTGCCCTATGTTTTCCTGTGATGATCAGTAATACTTTTGCCCTATGTTGTCCTGTGATGTTTAGTAAGACTTTTGCCCTATGTTGTCCTGTAATGGTCAGTAAGACTTTTGCCCTATGTTGTCCTGTGATGTTCAGTAATACTTTTTCCCTATGTTGTCCTGTGATGTTTAGTAAGACTTTTGCCGTAGGTTTTCCTGTAATGTTCAGTAAGACTTTTGCCTTATGTTGTCCTGTGATGTTCAATAAGACTTTTGCCCTATGTTGTCCTGTAATGTTCAGTAAGACTTTTGCCCTATGTTGTCCAGTGATGTTCAGTAAGACTTTTGCCCTATGTTGTCCTGTGATGTTCAGTAAGACTTTTGCCCTATGTTGTCCTGTGATGTACAGTAAGACTTTTGCCCTATGTTTTCCTGCAGGAACAAGTACAAAGGCTACCTGTTGGAGTCACGGCTACACTTTCGTATCCATGCTGTCCGCCTGTCCTTATCCAATCAACAGAACAGTAACAATAGCAATGGAGGAGAAGATGTAGAGGATATTGAATCACCCCTGGGGTCACCACACCCAGGCACATCAGATCAGGAAGGCAGTTGGAACAGCTGGACTTCAGGACAAGAAAGTCTAGATGCTGGACTGGCAGAAACCAACCACACAACACATTTTTGATGTTAGACAGTAGAATTAGCAAATGTGTGAATGAGAGAAAATGTACGGTATGTCATTTGATATGCACTGTAAAAAACTGAATACAGAAACATTTAACTTATTACATATTTATTATCCCTTTGTTGTCCTGAAGATGCTTATCTTTCAGGTTGATAATAAATTTTAGATGGCTACCATGGTCATGATTGGCAGCAGGTTTTTTCTAATTGTTAATTTTTGTATGAAAAAATAAGTAAAAAATTGGATTAGATTGTAAGTGTGTGAAGATTTGATTTCATGCATTCCTTGTTATAAATTTTAAGGTAAATGGATCTGTTCAAATTTTCACAAATCCACTATCTATTGTCATCTAAAGTTGTACAAGTGTATTGATCTTCTAAGTTCTGTCACATGAAGTTTATTAAAATATTAGAGTTTAAATATTTCAGTTAATATTTTAATTTCTGCTAGCTGAGCCAAGATAATGTAAATATAATTATTTTGACACACTCAAATTTTTGCATATTATGAAATTTTTAAAGATTAGCGCATTAATGAAATTGCACATCAAGAAAATGTGTAATAGAGAACAATATACCAAAAACATCCATTGGCCCATTTGTAATTTAGTGCGTTATTCAAAGTGTAAATATCTCTAAAATAAAAGTAAAAAGCTGCTTAGGTATGAACATTTATAGTACTTTATTGATCATGTACGTTTTACTATGTGGCAGGCTCATTAACGTGATTGCAAAAAATGTATCCATGTTAATATCATGACTAGTGAGATTAATCTTCACATGAAATTTTCTCTACCTTTATTTATTTTGTTGAAGTCTTTACGGGTCTTCTTTTTATTTATATGGACAAATTATGAAATAATCAAAAGTCAGAGGTGTATGCATAACATAGTATAGAAATTTAAACGATGCAATACAGATCATGTGAAAATTATAGCGATGGCAAATTTATCACCATGAGACTCACAAAAATACCACTTTTGTAAACCCTCTGTTCCACTTGCCTGAGACAGTTTTAAAAGTTGTGAAATGTTATTTACCGTCCCAAAAGTAAACAGTAATTCAAATGTCATAAACTGTAAGACTTCTGGAAGTGTTGCTGATAAACTGAGGTGGACGATCCAATCACACGGTTTTAGTGAGGCCCTGAAGATAGCTGCACTAAATATTGTGAATAAGTATTAAATGTTATAACTAAATATCAAGGGTAATAAAGTTAGTCCATATTGAAGTTTGTTATTTTGTATGTCTACTTCATATATTATCGTACTTGTGTTCTAGCACTAAAGGATCATTTGATCTATTAGTGAAATTATAAATTGGTGTTCGTTTTTCCCAGAGTAAATCTATTTGGTTCTAGTTTTGTACATAAAGGACTTGGGGTGTCATGGGTCATTTTTGGCCATAACAAGTAAAAATTTCACACTTGAATTTATTTACCATTTTCTGTTATAAACATCATATTTGGGGTTAGTTGGGTCTATCTATTTTAGGTGAAGATTTTTCCCATGCTCATGCTTAGATGCCCTACCATAGCAACGAAATTGTATCTCTTTATAATGCCATATTTCCTAAATCACTTGTCGATTGAATTTGAAATATCATATTTGCATACTTCATTTATTCCAGATTTTGAAAATAACAACTGATTTTAAATCCCTGATAAGGCCGTAAATAACCCTAAATGCCCCCAGTCCTTTGTGCATCAGAGATCAAAGGAAAAGGGGTCAAAATAAGTAAAATCAGTGAATAAGTTTATTCACAGCAATTCAATTGCTAATACTTTTGCAATATTCTAGCGTTCATGATCAGATACGTTCTCTGGTGCTGCTGAACGGAATGATGTTGAGCCTTATTTATGCAGTCACCATTCATCTGCATAACACATTCAGCCCCCACTAATCCATTTGACACACTATATACCCAGCCCCAACTAATCCATTAGACCCACTATATATCAAGCCACCACTAATCCATTAGACCCACTATATATCAAGCCACAACTAATCCATTGGACACACCGTATATCAAGCGACCACTAATCCATTAGACACACCGTATATCAAGCCACCACTAATCCATTTTACCCACTATATCAGCTAGCACTAATCTGATCCACCCACAAAACAGCTTGCCACCACTGATCTGGTTGACCTATTTTACTAATCCATTGGACCCATTTTATATTTAGCCAATTTTTCAGGAGCATTTTCTCTCTCTTTTTTTGTGTTCAAATCCAGCCACAGTAGCTGAGATATCAATAGAAGCTGATGGGATTGAGGAGGTGCCGTTCTGTTTGTTAAATGATATGTGTTTGCTATTTGAAGAGTTGACTGCCATGCTGTGGGCATGAGCATGTGGTGTTTTATCTGTCTCAATATAACTCGCGGTTATTATCATATGTATATATATATGTGGAAGTAGGGAACATATTATCATATGTATATATATATGTGGAAGTAGGGAACGTATTATCATATGTATATATATATGTGGAAGTAGCGAACATATTATCATATGTATATATATATGTGGCAGTAGGGAACATATTATCATATGTATCTATATATGTGGAAGTAGGGAAAATATTATCATATGTATATATATATGTGGAAGTAGGGAACATATTATTATATGTATATATATATGTGGAAGTAGGGAACGTATTATCATATGTATATATATATGTGGAAGTAGCGAACATATTATCATATGTATATATATATGTGGAAGTAGGGAACATATTGATAGTGTTTACAGTATATATATAACATCTCACTGCATTGATTTAATGATTTATCTCCTTCTGCTCAAGGGTGTGTGTGTATAATATCAATCATAAATTGTGTGTCTAACTTTTTAAAACTCAATAAATAACATAGAGGTTATGTGGTGACATATTAAAAGGCACATAAAGATACCAATTGTGTTGTTCTCTTGGACAAGCCTATGGTTGGTGTTTAGGGGAGATAACTCAAAAAAACAATATAAACAAATAATTGGTAAAAAGTGTATGGTAGCATTAATTACCAAGGTAAAATTTGTACGTTCACCCAAAGTGTAATAAAACCCAGTGTCTCGGCAAATACAGGTGGTGTTTTCTTAAAACCCACAGAAGTATTGAAATAAACAGATCACCCAGACCAAAGATTGAAGGCATATACAAATTATCGTGTACAGTTAGGCTTAAGAATATTGTGACATATTGTCTATTATACACAGGTTATTGGGACCTAGTTGAATGAAGGTTTTTGGTACCTACTTGAACATATTGAGACAAACGTCTGGTTTATAAAGGTTTTTGGGACCTAGTTGAAGGTTTTCGGGACCTAAATAGTTGAATGCATTGTGACTTAGGTCTGGTTGATAAAGGTTTTTGAATTTTACACGTCACTGTGATATTACCAAGTTATTTTGTCTTGTCATATTAGAGCAAAACTTTTTTATTTATTTATTTAATGTGTTAATTTAATGAACTAACATGATTCAATGTTCCTTTTCATTTCTCGTTAAGCAATAGGAATTGTTGAACAATACTGTATAAGCCGCTGTTATTTTCACAGCTCTTAATTTTTGTGACTCTCAAAATGTTAAATTTACACAGATTAACAATAATTAACAACTGGAGATACGAGAGTATCTCATTTATTTGCTGATATTACTGTTTTCTCCTTTCAAACATGTATGTTGATGTTCAGTAAAAACAATAACATTAAACTGTATACACTATTCAACTCTTTTCAGTTAATAAGTATTCCTCTATTTCCCACTTGTAGCCACACATAAACTGATATTAGTTCAAACGTACAATCAATTTAAAAAAAAAACCCACACTTTTGATTGATTAATTTATTTCTATACAGCTGTGTGTATTACCTAGGCCTGTTCCTATCCATAAACTGATCTCAGTATTTTTTGTAAATATATCATGAAACATTCATCTATTTAAAATTAGCGCATTGCTTATGGCAGTACTGTAGTGTAGTAATAGTAGGCTGCAATTTATATCACAGATTATATCTATATCAATAATATGTCATATTTACACGTGATATCATATTTACGCGTGTGGATTAAAATTTTGAAGATCACATGTATGCCCTATGGATTAGGATAAACATCATCACTGCAAAGTTATCGGCTATATTGTACAGTGTAATGTATAAAAGACTTCTGTAGAAAGTTGATGTAGCATGAATTTGTTTAGATACAAATGTTACTATTTTTGGTATACATATACACAATAAATTACTACATTGACAGAGAACATTACATTTTGCAATAACCATTTCACTGTATGAGCTCTTCAGATGTTTTTAGTTCACCTGGCCCAAACCAGCCTCTTGTTTTTGTCAATTTACCAATTTCTATTTACATCTTGCTGTGTTCTGTACATTTTAATATTTATAATAGTCTCTATTAAGAGCTGACCCAAGGGAAGGCACAGAAGTGGTCTCTTATCTGAGATATGTCTTGAGATAGTATTAATTTAGACAGCTCAGAGAAGAGAGCTTAAGCGGGGTCAATAGTCTCTCATTAAACTGATCCCAAAGTGTTATATTCAGGAATTTTGATATTGGTTATTTAATGTAGTGTTTTGGAATTTTGCTGTTACAATAATCTGAATGGAAACTTGACATTGTGTTGTAGGGTACAATTTTAATATTTGTTTATTTCTGTGAGAATCACGATGTAAACATAAGTATCACACTGCCGTTCTGTACACCGCTAGTTGTCAAAACGCCTTACCTTATGAATGTATAATGATTTATTGATCTAACATTATATTCTCCATATTTGTATATATATATATACAAATGTAACATTTTGTGTTCTTGTAGAGCTTAAAAGTATGAAAATACTTTTTGACTGAATTGTAGAGCGTTTATTATCCCAGTGATAGATTTGATACTTCTCATGTCTGTAAACAACTTGTTGTAGTGCAGTGTTTAAGATACTGATTCAGATGTTTTTGTTAGTTTCTACTAAGTTCCCAATAACAAACATCTGTAGTTTGATGTAATTACACCTATTTATGCAGATCAGAATGGGTTCTTAAAGAAAAGAAAAAATCTTGAACAATAAGATGAAAGGTGGGACACACACAGTGCCTCGCTCTTGTACATGATCAAAATCATCAACCGATAATTTTGATACTGCTTCTGCAAGAGGTTCAGATGTATTTGGAGGAATTATATATTTTTTTGCTGATGTCATGGCCATGGTTTATTTTTAATAACATGCATGCTTTGGTAGATTATTTACCACATATACAAGGACAGGACTGTTATTATACCTATACATTAATATAACCAAACACAGATGGAGTATTTATATGTGCTTACATTATTTGGATATATCAGATCTCAGAGTACTTTGTGTACTTAACAAAGAGATATCCAAACCCAAGGGGTAAATACAGATAGTGGTGTCTTTTGGACAAAGTCTTAGAAATAAAAGGGATTGGAGGCCCTGGTTTCAATCCCGGTCTGACTCCTATTAACTCACCTGGCCTGAAGGTGTCAACGGTTTACTTTAAACAACTTGTATAATTAATTCTGCTGAATTAGAGGTCTAGGGTGATATTTTTCCAGTAGCATGCGTGGATGAAGGGCTACAAAGTCAGTTCAAATGAATGACGTTTGGGTCAAATATGTTCAAAACATTAAAACAACTTCTTCTAAATAACCAAAATGGCTGGATTGATGATATTTGACCAGTAGCTAGCTAGTATTGAAACAATTTCTCTGAATAACCAAAATGCCTAGGGTGATGATATTTGGCTAATAACATAGTTGGTGGAAGTCTGTCATGTTTGTTTAAATTAATGACCACCCATATTAAAGGTCATTGGGGTTAAATATGTTTAAATCTTTAAAACAACATCCCCTGAATAACAAAAAGGTCTAGGAAGATGATATTCCGTCAGTAAAATGCGCATTTGAAGAGCTATTGAGCATGTTCAAATGAATGACCTTCACCCATATTCAAGGTCACTATAGGGTGAAACATGTTAAAAATGTGTGTTGACTGTTCTCAAAATCTGGGTAGCAGTTCTAGTTTTAACTTACTAGTGCGTTAGTCCTTTATCAAAGAATGTTACTGTGGCCAAGTATCATCACTCTAGAGGCCTGTTTAGCAAGAAAAAAAAAAGTTTGAAGTAAAAAGTTGATGCAGGACGACACCGCCACGGCACAAGCTCACTTATCATTCCCCTTGTTTCATTT